AAGAGGCAATTCCTTTCTTTGCTGCAAAGGACTGCTCAGGACTTCTTTTGTTTTGGGGTGGATTTTTGTTTGTTTGTTTGCTTGCTTGTGAGAATTTTTTTGGAAATGAGGTCTGTAGAACCCAACTCTTCACAAAGAGTAAGTCAAGAAAAACAGATGTGATTGTCATCTCAAATGTTCTCTGTCCCAGAGGTATACAGCAATTTTCAAAATTGAGGTTTATTTTTTCTTTAGAAGGGCACATCTCACATTAATCTATTTCACTAGAAAGGCAGAGAGTGTAGGCAATACTCTATGAACAGCCTCAAGTCTCTGCCTTCTTCTTCTTATCTGTAAGCCTCATCACTATTTTTCTTCTCCGACAAGTAATTAAAAAAAAAGGGGAAGAAGGTGAGATAGTAAGTTAGTAGAAGAGTATGCAGTTTCTGGGGTGACTAAGAAAGCAATATCTTTCCTCACAAATTCTTGAGCAAAATTCAACCAGGCAATAAGATTAAATCCATTAGCTTTCAGAATGCATTCTGTATATGTGCATACTCTTCTTAGGACAGCTAATCCTTGCTGTACCACTACTGAAAAGAGCTGAAAAGAGCTACCTTTAGAGTGGACCCTACAGGAAGGAGTAAGGTCAGGTAGGTGTTTGGTTCATATTCTCCTCTTGCTGCTTATGTTCTCTTGGGCACTTGAAGAAATAAGTAAAATTACAGGTTCCAAAACCAATATGCTAGTTTTTATGCTATGTTATTGCCAGCACTCTTAGGGGAATTTCAAAATACATTCTCAGAATGTAACACACAAAACTGCAGTGAGCTCACCTGGAGAAATTACAGCTATGGTATCATGGAGATACTTCTAAAGAATAATACTTCATCTTCATGCCATTTTGCACAGTCTTAATTTTCAAGTAAGTCAAATGGGTCATACAGCAGCAAAAAATGTGGAGTAGGCAACTGAGTACATTGTGAAAATAAAGATCAACTCATTTTGATAGCAGCACCTACTCTTTAAGTTGCAATGAGCAAACAAGATGGAGACATTTCCTTTAGGCCAAATGTGGCAACTGGAAAAATATTTGGGCTTTGGAAAATAACCTTTTTATGATGAATCAAATAACTACCAGGGATGCTGGACTATATCACAGCCTTATGACAAAGGCTGCGTTAATCTTCTCTACGCTCTTTATGAAATAGTAATGTTTAACATAGCTCAGATTAATAACCTGAGACAGAGAATGCTATGCCCCTCACATTCTCACCCAGCTAATTTGCTGTGAATGGAATGAGTATTCCAGGTCAGGGGAGACATGCCCCAATCAATGCTCTGTCTTGAAATGGTGCTGCTGCTCTTCAGAGGGGAAGACAAAACATGCTTTGCAAGACTGTTGCTCAGGTAAGTGGTTTAAATCCAATGCAGGCAATGAAGCCTTTGCACCACTCTCCTATGACATAAAAATTGCCTTATATTTCCACAGAAAAGTTATCTCAGTCATGGTTGGCATGTAAACACTTTCCGGTGGGGTTTCCACGGAAACAGGAAAAGCGGTGCGCATGTGTGCGTGTGTGTGTGTGTGTATGTGCGTGCATGTGTGCGTGTGTGTGGGGGCAGCAGGAAAAGGTGTTATCTTCAGATTGGAAACTATTTTTAGGTAAGCCACAGGTTAAAACAGCTACCAAATGCCAGTTAAGAAGGTGGCAGGGGGTGGAACTGGACTTCTCAGAAGGATCACATTCTGAAGGGCACTTTATAAAACATTTAATGAGCCAGTAAGTGTCCTTTCAGTCTTCCTGAATTTTCTTGTGCATGTTTGGTACCACTCTATGAAGTGGTATTATATAACAGAGTCTTCTCCTCTGTGGCAACCTGCTAAAGGTTAAGAGACAGAATGCTGTAAGTAGAACAAAATCCCCAAGGAAGATGCAATATCCAGCAGAAAGGAAGGCAATTTCTGACTTCAAATAAAGCAGTAATGTCATACAGATGGTATGGTGGGAGGAGGTATTGTTCCCTCCTGTGCTGGATAAGAAATAGGAAGGAGACTGTAGCCGTCTGTCCTTCTTAGCTGATGATCCCAGTTTTATCAAAGAGTAGGATATCAGCTGCTACTTAGAGTAAAGTGGGGTGATAAGAGTCTCACTATCTGGCAGAAATGTTGCAGGGTACATTTTCTGGACACCCTTTTTGAATTTCTACAAGTAGCATTAGGACAGAATTTTTCTTGCTGCTCAAGGGCTTGAGCTAGCAAGAGAACAGCTGAATTTCCATGGAGCACAGTGGAGTAAGAAAAATGGGAGTTAAAGTCTAGGAAAAGGGGAAAGGGAAAAGCAAGACAGTGGAATTTGGAAGAGAGAAATGAAGACATTAAAACCAAAACAAAACAAACTCCCAAATAAACTAGGTGAAATCCACCTAGTCATGACACCTTGCAGAAGTCATTAACTTGACAGTGTCCTAGCATCTATCTTGTGTGGTGTTTCAGCTCTGTGTAAGCATTTCCTTCTTTTTGAAAAAGAAGGAAAGAAAGAAAGAAAAAGAATTTGGGAAAAAAATAAAGAGGTTCCTTAAAAGCCCCTAAAGAAACTAGGAAACTAAATCGTGGCAATGGGAGTATTATCCTTAAAAAAAAAAAAATTCAAGTATATAAAAATCAAAATACAATATGAAAGCCATTTTTTTCTCCCTTGCTTGCAGTCTTAGCCTGGACCATCTTTTCACAAGGGTCTTTTCCTCAACTTCGTAGTTTTAAAATAATAGGGAATTTATAAGTAAAATGGACTTATGTGCATATTCTGTTTTTACTAGAGGAACACAGAATATTTAATGTACTTATTTTCAGACAATTCTAGCTCTAATATAGAGATTGCTATTCTAAAATGCTTGTTTCCAGGGATTTAGACCCAGACACTATAATCTGCATCAGTAAAAAGTAAGAAAAAACCCAGAAATATGCTTGTTTTGCAAGACAGGAAAGCATGGAGACCATAGTGGAACTTGACAATGGAGGAGAAAGAATTAGATGCCTATGCAGGTCCTCTGTATCATCACGGTAAACACACTTCACATTGATCTACCATGTGTCTAGAGCCATTTCTCATCCTGCAGTTTTCAGGACAGCATTTTTTCCCGTCAAAGGCATACCTGAAGCTTTGTCAGTCCAGACTGACAGTCCAGAGTGACAGTTGTCTCTAGTTTTCTCAGTTCTAAATTATCATTTCCACAACATGGAGGCAAAACAGTTTTTTGGAGGGATTTTTCTAAGCAGCACTTATGGCTCACAAAACCTTATCCTTAGACTACACAAGTGGAAAACCAGAGACAAGCAATTTTATACTGTCTTTCCAAATTCTGTCACCACACCAATACCTTTTTCATTAGAGTAAGGAAAAATAATCTAAATTTCAAGCTGCTTGATTGAATTCTACTTAGAAACAGAAGCAAATGGTATCAATATAGAATGGAGAACACTTGGTTACAAAAAGATCAAAATTAAGACCATTTGTAGTTAAAGTTTTGAAAAGCTAAAAAGAAGGCCTAGGAGGGCAATAACCAAGTTACCTTCTTCAAATTGTAATATTCATCAATGGAAATGGTCAAAGAAATGCTGTGAGTGGCCTTCTGTTGCTGCCTGCAAACTTTGTCTTCTATAAATTGAGAGTAATCTTATTAGTGTCGGTTAAGTCACTACACAGAGCAGAAGGAAACTGAACCACCCAGTGTTAGCTTCAGAGTGATGCTAGAGTTTGGAAAGGTGTTTAAGGAAGCCATGTACAAAAAGCCAGGAATGCATTGAGGGGAGCCTCTGGTACACTACAGAGTTGGCAGAGACCCTGACAATGAAGTAGGGTCCTAAGTATCATGGAAGCCTATTTACTTGTTCCATGGATGAGTAGACTATTTGCATTACAGCTTCTCAAAAATTCCAGCATGTACTTTTAAATTACAAAATATGTTTCAGCAATACTCAAGCAGCCTAAGAAAGCTGTCAAGTTACCACAGGAAGAGGACAAAATTGGAAAGGCCACTGGGAAGGAACCCAGCATGGACCATCTCAAAATTCTGTTAGTAGACTGCTAATTTTTATTTTGACAGCAGATACCTGAAATACTTTCATTCAGATTGATGAAGCTAAATCTGCGGACTCATTCCTCCTCCAGAGGAGGAACAAACTGCCCTGCTTTGCTCTGTTGTGCCATTTGGATAAGGATAAATAATGTATCCCACATCTAATAGAGCAGAATCATTGTTCAGGATGTCCTAATACTTGCTGAAATTAACATAAAAGTTCCAAAGCCTGCATAACTGCCAATTTAAACTGTCTAATGGGAGATGAAAGGAATTGCACATTGCTGAGTAATGTACTCTTGCAATAATTTTCCCTTCTTCCCCTGCAGTGGATTGAGACTGAAAACATTATCTCAAATGATAAAACTCTTTGACCTTGCAGATTTCTGAAGCCTAGGAAATGTTTTATTACAATGTAAATTAAAAACATGTGGACATTGCTGTGATATGTGATTGCTTAAGATTGCTTTTTCTTCATTGTTTCCAGTGAACATACTCAATGGGACAAAAACCTTATGAAGCAAGATAACAGAAGGAGGGATGCAGAAGTTTGTGTACAGGTCCTCTTTCATAATGAATTTTGACTATTTCATGATGCACATCATGACAATAAGAGAACAGGTTTTATGCAATGTGACAAGCAATTTCTATTCGCTATATTTATGGCTTCAAACATCTTATCTATAAAGTAAAAATACATTTCCCAAAAGAATAGATTCCAGACTCCTACCTTATCTTACGCTAAAGGGCAGGGACAGAAGGCAAGATCTTTTACATATGGCAAACTCGGTTCAGCTGTAAAAGAGAACTAACTATTATGTAGTCACTTCATACTCTTAGCTACTTTCTATTAAGATGTTTGCTTTCAGTGAAAAGCACAATCAAACACGCAATACATTTGGTAACACAAGAATAAAAAGAAGAAAAAAAAACTCGTTAACCTCTTCAACATTATGGGCGATTCCATTCTGCACTGGTCCTGAATCACTTGGTGGTGTTACTGCAACTTCCACTTTTGCACCTTTCTCTGTGGCACCATCCATAGATAAGAGAGGGAAAACAACAGATCAAAATATTAAATTACAAATATACTATTGAAATAGCTGTCATATATTCAGTCTGAGCAAATTATCAAATACTAATGTTTAGTAAACATCTGTGTTAAAAGAGAAGGAAAAGAATTTGCCTAGTACCCATTTTCAATAAAAATCTTATAAGCAGTGAGTAGCATTTTGAGAAATATTTAAGTTCAATATTCAGTGTTCTTTGTTTATGCTAAATGCACTGAGCCTAATACTTCACGTAGAAAGTGACATAGAGCATTCACCCCTGACTTTATAGAATGCACCATGCTGAATATAGGTGAGGGGATATATTCAGCAGTGAAAGTCTTATAACACACTAACCCCTGCAATTAGTAAATTCAAAACTTTGAAGCTGTAATCCTGCTGTCTTCCCTGCAAAAATGTGGAAAAGAGTAAACATATGGTGTAATAATATGTAATAATAGAGGATGATCTTTAAACCAGAATCCTGTAGTCCTTGTTCTAAACTTGCACAGGAATTAAAGGAATAAAGTTAGGCCTTAGGTTTATGATGCCAAATTTATTAAAATTTATTCTTTGACTATCTTGGAATTCTCTAAGCAGTAATTACCTCTATAAGTATGTGGTACATAAATGTGTCAGTGGCCCAAAATACCTTGGACAATACAAAGTAAGGGGGAATAGCAATATGAAATGCCTTACTCAAGTTCAACATGCCTTATGGTATGTTCTTGTGCATAGAAGTAAATACAGCTGTCTAGTTACATTACTGCTATCCTGAGATTCTTCTAAATTAAAAATCTGAGATCACAGCCACAGCAGAGTGCCAGACTATCTGTAATTATTTCAGTATATGTGTGTTGTCCCTTAACCCCACACTCAGCATTTTGGTTTATTAACAGACCATCCCAACCAACTGCCTGATTTTGGAAGCAAATACTATGTAAACATAACACAAGGTCAGAAAAAGTGTCAAGTAATAAAATGATTCAGATTTTATTGGACACATTTGTATCTGGGTTTCTAATGCAGATAATATGATGAGGTAAAGTAGAGAAAACAGGTCATGGTACAGATTTTCCTTTAGCATAGGAACTTTGGAATTAAAATTAAAATTCTTTCCTGAATGGCAAACTCTAGCAAGTAAATTTTCCACAATTTGCACAGATGGGCCTCAATGACTCCCAGAAAGTAGTACACAGACAAATCAAACCTTAAATATGAAGGTGATGCTTTTTGTGATGAGGGTGGTACCCTATAAAACACATGTTCTACTTACTAGAGCATTTCAATAAATTAAATAAATTTTTCTGTATATACCACAAGGAAGTTTTGCCTGTCTATCACTTCAACACATAACCAAAATCAGCTTTGCTTTTTTCTCTTCAACCTGCCTAGGAGGCTTTCTATATGCCTTGACTGGCTTTCTATTCTTGCATTTAACTTCTGTCCCATCCATAAACTTCATATACTTTGGTACAGAGAATCAGAGTATTTTTACTAAAATAGCACATGTAATGAAGGAGAAAGTAATGATTAACAAATTTAAAACAAAATTAAACAGTGAAAGAGACTCTCAGGCAGATGATAAATCTGCAGTGCTGCACTCACCATGATTAGCCGCTCCATTCTGCCTTTCACTGTCTTCCACCTGGCACTTTTTTTTGGCAATCTTATGCAGAATTGAGGCCCTTTCCTTGAACTTTCCTAAAAGAAAACATTGTCATTATTACAATGCAGCCATTTTGAGATGCTAAGTTTATTTTCCATAGCTTAGTCTCCATAGATCACTGCTGATAATGTTTCAATTCCTCCTCAAACAGCAAATATGCTATTAAACATTATCTCACGTTCCCATATACAGGGTTGGGGATTTTTTCTTTCTTTCTTTCTTTTGTAGAAATAAAAATGTAATTTCTTTGAGAACTCAGCAATGAATAGAAAAAGAAATTGAAACCAAAAGCTATGATTTTTCTTTGGAAGAAGTCAGTACACTTTCACCTATAAATATGCTGGTGTAAGAGTTCAGCTGAAGCAGAAGATGAATACAGATGAATCAAGATATCATAAATAAAAACAAACAGTTTCAGTTCTCAATTAGTAGTAGTGTAGAACAAAATTTCATATTAACACATATACTGCATTAGAGTGAGTGTGGTCAGTTTTGCAGTTTTGTCACTTTGGACTTATTTATGTGTCTGTGATTTCTACTCATTTCAGTGCTTGGTAAAACTATGAAGAAGATTATTCTGGGATTTACTGAAAAAGACCTGAAAGACAACACTACCACTTATCACAGCCAGCATGGCTTCATGAGAGGAAAGTCCGGCTTATCAAATCCGATTTCCTTTTATGATAAGGTAACACACCCTGATGATAAACAGCAACTAATTTATGTGATCTTTTTGGATTTCAGTAAATTTTCAAATACTGTCTCTCACAGGATGCTTCTGGACCTACTGTGCAGCCACAGCTGGATAAACACATCATGGGGTGGGTGAGCAGCTGGGTCACGGGTCAGGCACAAAGGGTTCCAGAGAGTGGGGTGACATCAAACTGGGGACCTGTCACCAGTGGGGTTCCACAGAGCCCCATGCTCGGCCCTCTGCCCTTCAGCATCTTCATAAATGACTGGGATGTAGGACTGGAAGGAATACTCAACCACTTCCCAAAAAGGGAGAAGCTGCTGACTCCCTCAAAAGGCAGGGAGACCCTGAAGAGAAACCTTGACAAATCAGGGGTCTGGGCAATCACCAACCATATGAAGTTGAACAAGAGAAAGGGCTGGATTCTGCACTTGGGATGGGACAACCCTGGATGTACAGACAGACAGAGGTGCTGTAAGCAGTGCCATGGAAAGGGACCTGGGGGTCCTGGCAAGTTGAACATGGGTCAGCAGTGCCCTGGCAGCCAGGAGGGCCAACCCTGTCCTGGGGTGCATCAGGCACAGCATCACAGGTGGGCAAGGGAGGGGATTGTCCTGCCCTGCTCTGAGCTGGGGCAGCCTCACCTCCTGTGCTGGGGGCTGGTTTGGGTGTCACAATGTGAGAAAACATGAAACTGTTAGAGAGTGTCCAAAGGAGGACGAAGAAGATGTAGGAAGGCTTTGAGGGGAAGCTGTGTGAGGAGCAGCTGAGGTCACTTGGTCTGCTCAGCCTGGAGAACAGGAGACAGACGGGAGCCCTCACTGCAGTTACAACCTCCCCTGAGGGGAAGGAGGGGCAGGCACTGAGCTCTTTTCTGTGGTGACAGTGACAGGACCAAAGGGAATGGCCTGAAGCTGTCTCAGGGGAGGTTTATGTTGGATGTTAGAAAAAGGTTCTTCACCCAGAGGGTGGTTGGGCACAGGAACAGCTCCCAAGGGAAGTGATACCAGCGCCAGCCTGACAGAGCTCAAGAAACGTTTGGACAGCATTCTCAGGCACACAGTGGGACTCTTGGGGCTGTCCTGTGGCAGGAATTGGGCTTGATGATCCTTGTGGGTGCCTTCCAACTCAGCATAGTCTGTGATTCAGAAGGGGAAGAAGAAGTCTCCAGAATGCATGATTTTCATATCAGATTCTCAGAGATAATTTTTCTTCTAAACCTGCCAGTTTGGGGCTTTTTTTGTCTGCCATGAAGTTAATCACACAGCTCAACCTCTACACTCTCTAGGGCAACACACTCTCCAGAAGTCCCAGGTTTTGTCACTCTTTATTGACCACTGTGTCCAAATGATACACTAAAACAAGGTAATGCCAAAGATGTCAATATTAGGTGAAAAGAAACCTTTTTCTGCCTTCATAGCTCTTTCTATGTAAGGACTCTTTGGACATCCTATGACAGCCTATGATGTGTAGAAAGTTGATGTATCTGCCTTTACTGTTTTATCCTGATTGTTATTGCACTTTAAGCATTTTAAAATATTTTTAGACGTTTAACTGGTGGCTATTTTACAGCACATTTCCTAATTAAAAATACTATTATAATACAGGGCCTGTAGCTCTTTTAATTCTTCATCTCCAATCAAAAAATTTTATTGAAAAATTATATTGAAAACTGTTGGTGTCCCTGCAGCAAAACCAGCACAGACTTAAGACCAGAAGATATTTCAATGGAGTTATATGAAAGACTAACAGTGGAAAGTAAAAGTAAGAAGTCATGAATTAATTTGGTTATTTGGATAACAGTCACTTCTTGCCAAGCTAAAAACTTGGGGAAATTACAAGCATACAAGGATAAATCATTAGTCAGGAAAGAAATCCTCTCTTCCCTCCTTAAAATGGAAGCTTCACACCCCTGTATCCACACTTTTGTACATGGAGAAGCATATGAGCAATTCACAGGGACTAGCAGCTATCATTTGCTGGGAAGTGGAACTAATTTCTCAACAGCAAACCACTTAGAAAGTAATAAAAATACCACAAATATTTAATAAACTATACTGTCCTTTCTGCAGTCCCCACCTTTTCACAAATACATCATGCTCAAAAAAAAAAATCAAAAATCAAAAATCAAAATTAGCAATTCACAATGTTTTGCAAATATTATATTTTTTGGCACCCAGAGTTAAACACCTGCAGAATAGTATTTAAGCATAGAACACAATCATAAATAACAAGGCATCTCATTATTTCATTGCACAGGGTAAGAGGCAGAGATTCTAGTTAGAAGGGAAGAAGTAACAAAGAGTTAAAGAGAGAGAGTGAGAGAAAGAACAGGAATTTTTTGTGATGGCATAAAAGAGAAAAAAACAGAAAAAATATGAATCATATCCTCAAACATTTTAGGCCGAAATGCTGAGTCATGGTGGTTCCTAACTTATTTTAAAAGAGTTGCAGCATTTAAAACTACTTATCCAGAAGAATGAGTAGATATTAAAAGGTGCCTGATATAATTTCAGTCTCCTAAAGGATTGTGCTAGCTTTCAGATTCCAATTCAGCATTATATGTTTGAGAATTCAGCTTGTGATGCCACATATATAGAAATGCATTTTATGCAAGCAATGAAATTGATGCAGCTAGCACATTTCTGAAAAATATCTGTAGAGCCATCCATATCCCCACCTATTCCAAGATGGTGAAGGACCTTTCAATTGAAGGTCCAGTTTTAGAGGTTAAGGATATTCTAAGAACCTGAGGATATTCTAGTATTTTATTTGAGACTGTGTGAAGCTGTGTAGGTTTTCTTAACAGAGAAACATGGCTACTATTGAACTGAAAAGAAAATGTCTTCACAGAGATTCACATTGGTTTAGATTAGTTTAATTGAATGTGACATCCATTTTTTTTGCATTTATAAAAACCTCTCAGCAACTTTAGAAAGAACTTCTGACACTGACTTTTAATGATTTTAAGCTACACCATTTCATTCAGGAGACTGTTCCACAGTTGTAGGTCACTATCATGAAAGTTAAAATCAACATAGGCAATGGAAAATGTCTTTTGTTTTATTTTTATTTCTCAGTAGATGTATGATTCAGTTTACATTGTTTTATGTCATTACCTTAGATTAGATTCACTCTATGTAGGTAACAAAAGTGCAAGGAAATTATTAAAAAACATAATTAACTATCAAAAACATGAAACTGACAAAAGCAGTAGTACTGGCCTGCATGAAAACAGTACTGAAATATAGAAAAGACCACAGAGCAATGCCCCCTCCCTTCTTCCCGCCCTCCCTCCCTTTCTCTACCGTTTTCCTCCTTTAAACTAAACCAAACCTTTTCACTTAAGGGGAAGCACAGAGCCACCAAGGAAAAGGACCAGCTGAGGATGTATCTAAGTCATTCAAATTTTCAGAAAGCCACAAAGGTCAGTCTTAGGCACAGATCTTCTCTCGTGTCTTGTTTCTTATCTTTAGGTGGGGTCATTAAATAAAGTAAGCATCTTATGTCACTGTTCTTATTTCTAGCAGGTAGGTGCCTGTGTTTCCTCTGGAACAGTCCTATGTACTATGGTTTGACTATGTAAGAGAGCTTTTCACAACAGGTGGCATAATGAGAGTTTAGATGAATGACAATGCATGCTTCCATGGACCTAAAATAGGACAGATTGCCACAGCAAAATTCTTAGTTAATTTAGGTTCACTAAACTCCAACAGATTTGGCAGCTTATTTTAGTTTGCAAAGAATGAAGCAGAAGGAAGAGGTGATCAAGGCCAGATGATTACCAAAGAAGGTAGCTTAAAACTACATTGGTTTTTGTTTGAATAGCTACAAACAAATCATCATTGTATAATGTAGATATGCGTTGATCTGCATGAGTAACTCCAGCTGGCATCAGTTGGCAGAGATTCTCCTCCTGATAAAGGATATATTAAAAAGCCAATCCTTTATCTACAAACTAAATACCAGTCTACAGGAATTCTCCCTGGGTCAGAAAAATATCTGATTTGATGTGAAAACAGTTCTTCAGAAATTCCCTCATTTAAAAAATTCAAGATTCTACTGCTTGCCTTGTTTTCAGTCTGTGATCAAAGGAAACATACTGCATCTATCTAGCTATAGCCAAGCTTTCATGAGCCTGAACATGTCAAATCTGTGGCTGTTGAGCACTCTGAACTATACTTACTAATTCTGCTTATGACGTGCTGTGGAAGATAACTAGTGAGTGACTACCAATCTAAATCCAGAAATCCACCTTGCATGCTTTCTCGTTTAAGATCAAGCAGAAGTATCAAATGAAAACACATGCAATTTTGTCATCTTGTAGACTATTGGTGGAGCACAAGATTAGAGTGAGGGTCTCATCTTATGGGGCACATTTACTCTCTCAGTTTGACCTGATTAATCTAAAATTAATTTAAAGTCACTTTCAGACCAAAGAGAAATGATCAAAACAATAGAAATCAGTTTCTAATATATGGAGCACAACGGCTCTCTGGCCATTAGGATGAGTCTGATTGTGTATTGTAGCTTATTCATTGATTCTTGTCCCTGATTGTTCTGATGCAGCAGGAAGAATAAATGCACCTGAGTTTCTTTACTGGAGGACTCAAAGAATACTCTGTATCTCCACTCCAGGCTTGAGGACTGGACATAAGGATGTCACAAAAAAATCAATGGATTTGTAACTGGATTTATGTATTCCTGTGACTAAGCTGCTGTGCAAAAGGTACAAAAACCTCAGTCATAAAAAGGAAGAGAAAAAAGTAAATGGGTAACACAAGTAAGTGTGATGCAGAGTGATAGCAACTAAACTTCAGAAAACCCAAACAGAAAGCTGAAAACATAGTACACTTTGATCAAAATACAACTTGTGAGATACACTTATCATTACTTGCCTTGTGAAAGACAAGTGAAAATTATGATGGTTGTATTTGAGAAGGTAAACTGCATCATAGACTCTTGTAAATGTTAGTGTTTCTAAAGACAAAGAGCTTACTTTTTACTTCTGATACTGGATTTTTCCTGTGGCTATACTATGGTTCTGAAATATTTATTAATGAGAAATGCATTCTGAGGTGACATTGAATATTAAAAGCATTACATCTGCATAGGCACAGGAATAATATACATCCATGTATGTATTATACTGCAAAAAGTGTTTCCCTACTACTACATTTAGATGCCAACAGAGTATTTATGAATCTCAGAAGGCTACTTTTGAAATAACATAATGATACTTCACCATAAAAAATAAATACCTTAACATACTCACATTTAAGGCTACACTAAGAAATTGCCTTTTTATCTTGATTGTAATGAAGACTGAAGTAAAACATACCGCAAAAGCTTTATCTCTGGTAGCCATATCATGGTGGCCCAGGTTAATGGCTCCTTACAGGTACTTGAGAGGTGTATTTAAGCAACATAGACACCACTGTCCGCCTGTTAAAATCTACTTTCAGACTCCCTTTTTTATACTGGTCCCACCCCTGTGAACCAGATGCTTATCTGGGCAATGGAGCACAGTGAGGCAAGACCACTCTATGAGCTCAGGCCTGCCACAGATGAAAACAGCATCTTCCAACACCTGGGGCAAAGGTGCATGGGACCCCTCCCACAGCCTGCCCCAGAACCAGATGGTTACATTGGTGTACCAACAGCAAATACAGAAAGAGGAAAACAGCCCTTATCACTTTCCATCCTCCCTGAGGAATGATCATGACTAAGTCATGCAATGAGGATTCTCTTAAAATCTTCAAGATTACTCAACACTAGAAAGGATCCGTGTTTTTAAAAAGAGAGAATTAATACCGTTATACAAATACTGTTATTTGTCCTAAATTCCCAAGATTAAAAACAAGTGTGAATAGGTAGCTAACTTTTCTACAGGCTTCAAGATTTTCCCCATCCCCAAACATGCTGCTAATCTCTAAATTTAACATAATGAAAACATCTGTCTGGAATTATAATCAGAAGGACGGACAAGAGGCCTTGATCCGACAGACAATCAGGTCTCAGTTCAGGGATAATTCCAAATTGTAGAAATGCTAATCACACTAGGACAAAAAGCATGTGTTGGAAATTTATTATGGAGTTAGCTTCTTTCCTGAATTAGTATGATAGAACTGCAGTGCTTTTGAATCAGCAGAAAAATTTCCTGAGATTTCACTGAGCCCTGATTCAGGCCCTAATTACTTCCTTCTTAAATTGCTAGAATGAGGATTTCAAATTACAATTTTTTTGCATTGCAATCAAGCATACAATTAATACTCCAGGAATAAACATGCCCAGTTTCTAAAGGTTATTCATTGCTCTTCAATAATACAGTAAATTGAAGTCACTTAGCAATTGTTTGAGCGATTTGAAAATCTATAAAATAATTTCTCTTCTTGAATGCATTGTAAAACATGGCATCAAGTAAGCACCTACAATCTATGTTATACTGTGCCATGTAATCTGCAAGTATGGTTTTGCATATGTTGTTTGCGAAAAGTATCCACTTGCATTTTCTTACCTGAAATAGCAGAACTGAAATGTTGAAAACAAAGACTTGAAAAAAGAGTTGTAACTGATTGAGCCACCAATAAACACATGCAAAAAATGAGTTATTCAAAAATGGAGAAAATGAAAATAGGACCAAGAAAAACAAAGAAAAATGTAAACACAAAAAAGACACTCAGAGGGCTTCAAAAAAAGCTCATACAAACAATTCTAAAATATTTCTTACCTTCTTCAGTCATTGTGTCATAATATTTTAGGTTTCCATATGATCCAAGCTCTATAACATCACAGTAAAAGACACAGAGATAAGGAACCAGCAGACATTAAAGAAATGTACATGTTTTTGCATGTGCTTCATAAACTGGAACAGTGATTATGCAAAACATTTTCCAGGACAACGAAACACAGATTACAGAAATGGCACTGCTTTCCCCCTCAAGAATTTCACAAGTCAATGACTTTAGCTAAAGTGTTAAACTTGCTAAAGTGAGATGTAGGAGAAGCACTGAAATCTAAAATTTAGCCTTTTCAAGTTTTTTGCCATTTGGTGCCTTTACATCAGGGAAAAGATAATAAACCTTGAGACTACCTAAACAGCAGCAATTTTGCCTTTACATCAGGGAAAAGATAATAAACCTTGAGACTACCTAAACAGCAGCAATTTTGCAAACTAAGCTCATTTATCATTCCCCAGGTCAGACATTCAAATACGTCTGTATCCAAATTAAACAAAAAAGTTTCAAAACACGTAATTTTAGGAGCTGCTCATAATGCTGTCTCCCAAACAGTGTTTTGATACCAGCACTGATATTGCCTGGCTTTAGAGGGGCTACTTAATTAAACTACTCTCTTGTCACTTGCCTCATCAGGTGAAATGACACCTTAATTCATTAAATCATTCAATCTATCTGAAAATATTGCATTATTAGATTCTATCAGGGCAGAAAAAAGAATGGAATGCAGAGGTCTCTGTTGCCTTCTGATACAGGTCTCCAGATTTTTAGGGCTACTACTGTTTGTTTCTCTGTGATAAAACCTTGCATAAAATCACCTTTTTACTACAGTGGCTTTACACTATTTTTTTAAGTGCTTTTTTCTTAACATTTGGCATACATGTATTGTATGCATAAACACAATAATTAATATAAACCTACAAAACAGGACAATGAAAAATTAGTCTCAAGGAGGAATTTGTAAATGGTCTGGCTGAGGAATTTGTGGATGACCACTCATCATTTTTATGAAAAGTTTTGCAATTCAGTTTCTGAGCATCTAACTTTTGACAGAATGTGACCATTAGAAAGTGAATACTTAACAGTTTGATGATGGTTTTTTCTTTGCAAATATTCTCATTCATATTTATGAAACACCTTAAGCAATTAAATGCAAAAGTGATATCCAATTATTTTGTTTTTCAACGATGCATGATGATTTTTCAACAATTTTTCACAAAGGTGAATTTCAGTAGAGATGTGGCTATTAGTTTTTAACTGTAAAATACTGGGATGATATCAAATCTGACACTTTGAGAGATACATTTAAAAAAGGAGAAATCTTACATCATTTGCAGAGACAGAGAATGCCTTATGCCATGTAACTAAAGTATACAGGATATTATCATTGGGTTTTTTTAGTAAGTATGATTGGATTTTAATAATTTTTCATAGGCATATTACAAAGAAACTTACAAGTATTCATATACTCTTGCTAGTAAAATGTAGTGTCTTACTTGTCCATAAGTAAGCCAAATAGAATAGGACATTAAGTCTCTCTTAAAGCAAAGAAAAATGTAATTTAAAGACAGAATTTAATATATTCTTTTACAGCAATAAAGAAAGTATATACTGTTTTTTAAAATTTTCTTAGTCTTGCAACAAAATCTTTGCAGCTGCTAGTACATATAAGAAGCTATTGTCCTACCATCCTAATTTTAGTCCTTACCTGGAAAGAGCTCCAAATAACTTCAATATAGGCACCCCTATATACAACATTTGGAACTACTTGTCCTATTTAATTAGGGCTCAATATTTGCTGAATCTATGGGTAGCACCTTTGCTTGTACTTATTGATCTTTGCCTTCATGGGTCTGGGGTCTGCTTTGCTAGAACCTGGGCTGAGGCATTCACTGGAGATCGAGGACAGGACCGGACACATGCCGGAAAGAGTCCACCAAAAGGAGGGTAAAAGTAAAGGAAATAAATGGAGGCACATGGAGACCAAAATGTTAGCAGAGAGGGACTGCATGAATAAGGTTGAGGAGAACATTGCACCACACAACAGACTTCAGAATTAACAGAATAGTATGAGGCTTCTGACTCTGCAGATGAAGCAGAAGAGATTTCAGAGGAAAGCAAGATCAACTGTGAATTCTAAATCTCAAAACAAAAAACTGAAAAAATGGAGTGGAAGCAAGGCAGGACATTTCACACACCGGGAATCCCATTTAAACCTATTTACTTCCCACCTGAAGTGAGAGATAAAAGACAAACAGTAAAGAAAAATGGGGTCAATCTGACCTTACAGGGACCAAAAGAGAAGAGAAACAAGGTGATGCATGACAGTGAATGATGCTGATGATAATCATGTTCTGGGAACATCAGCAATTCAACACACCAAGGATTATACAGGTTAATTCCTGCAGTTAGCAAAATTATTTCCAGGAAAACTCCAATCTTGCTGGTGAGATTATGCTCTCCAAAGCTTATAGTCCTACACCCAGAGAGGAACTCTTTGTACAATCATCAGCCCACTGACTGCAATGCACTACCCAGAAAAAATCAGCTGCATGTATTCACATGTATTATACTTGAAGGTTTTAGGACTACTTAGGTCAGTGCTGCTTGGCAGCATGACAGATCTGCCTCTGCACAATCCGCTTCCAATATATGGTACTTCTGCTGTAAAATTTAGACTAAATATGCTCTTTGTTTTTGAGTTCTCCAGTTAACCAAGACATACCCTGTTTAATATAACTTTGAGTAAATAGAAAATGAAGCACTTTTCAGAAAAAAAAAAATTAAATTGGAAAAATTTCACAGCTTTAGAAGTAATCTTGTTTTAAATGGAATTGAAAAAGGTACTTGAAAAATTATCCCCAAATCCAATACAATTAAAATTTGACAATTCCGTTTTCGTGAACATGCTATGCAGTTCCCATGGTGAAGTCATAGTACATAGACTGGATGGATGGCAGCCAGTGCCTGCATCCCTGCTGGTCACATGAAACAAAGAGGATGCAGAGATGCAGCTTAACAGTTGATCCCCAACAGTTACAGAGTCACTGAATTAATTTGTTCCCTTCTGCATATTTTTACACCAGAAAAGAACAGAAGGTTCCTAGTAATCCTGACTGACATTCCTGAAGGATTACAGCAACATTTGTCTTACTATGTACTGTTCTCTACTGTGTTTGTAGGTGTCACACCACATCAAAGCAAACAGAAAAATATTGTTGGTTAATGGGGCTATGTTGTTTGTGATTTCAAATTCAAGACACCAAGCATGGCTTCACCAAGAGAAAAGTCCTGCCTGACCAACTTAGTGGCCTTCTACAATGGAGTGACTACCTCAGTGGACAAGGGAAGAGCTACAGATGTCACTTACCTGGACTTCTGTAAGATCCCCTCTTGCTCCCTCTCACTGAATTGGAGAGAGATGTATCTGTGTAAGTGGAAAGAAATCGACTGGATGACTGCATCCAGAGGGTCACCTGGCAATGAGTGGTATCTCTCTGAGATCAGTCTTATTTAATATCTTCATCAACTACATTGACAGGGGAGATCAAGTGCATTCTCAGAAAGTTTGAGGAACATCAAGCTAAGTGATGCAGTTGCCACATCTGAAGGACTGTGTGTCATTCAGAGGGACCTTGACAAATGGGAATGGGAATTTCATAAGGTTTAGCAAGACCAAGTGCAAGGCACTGCACCTGGGTTGGGGCAGTCCCTGGTTCCAGCACAGGATGGGGATGAACAGATGGAGAGGAGCCCAGCCCAGAAGGATTTGGGGGTGCTGGGGGATGAGAGGCTGGACATGACCCAGCCACGGGCACTGCCAGCCCAGAGAGCCAAACGTGTCCTGGGCTGCATCCAGAGCAGCGTGGGCAGCAGGGCCAGGGAGGGGATTCTGCCCCTCTGCTCTGATCTGCTGAGACCCCACCTGCAGGGCTGCACCAGCTCTGGGCTCCCAGCAGAGGAAGGACATTGACCAGTTGTAGTGAATCCACAGAAGGGCCACCAATATGATAGAGGGATGGAGAACCTCTCCTATGAAGACAGAACATTTGGGTTGTTCAGCATACAGAAGAAAAGGCTCTGAGAAGACCATAGAGCAGCCTGTCACTTCAAGGGGAACTGCAAAAAAAACTGGGACAAACTTTTTAGTAGGAGTTGCTGCGGTAGAAAGAAAGTAGATTCACACTAGACATAAGGAAGGTAATTTTTATATGGAGGATGTTGAAACAATGGCCCAGGTTGTTCAGAGAGATAGGTAAATTCCCCATACCTGGATATATTCAAAGTCAAGGTGTACAAGGCTCTGAGCAACTTGACTGGTTGGACATATCCCTGCTTGTTGCAGGGAGATGGTACTAGATGATCTTTAAACATCCATTGCAACCAAACTATTTTATGATTCTATTAAATAAGATAGCCAATAACTCAGCTTATTTTACTCTCACTTAGTACATACTGTCTGTGATGAAATACTAACTTCTGTCTTTAAAGTATACAGCCCCAGGCTGCCATAGAAGAAAAGCAGAATCAATATTTCTCTCCACTCTCCTGCAACTAAAATCTTGGCTACAGACTGCTGTTGACCCAAGTCAACCAAGACCCAGAAATTAGCCTGTTTCTAGAACTCCTTATAAGCCATACAGCTATTTTAGATACAACAACCTGCATTACTAAAGTTATGTATCTCTTCATGGAAAAGTCAGATTCTGACTTTTGTGAGAAATGTATCCCTTCATGTAAAGTCAGACTGAAAGAAACTAATTGTGGATTTCTTCAAAAAGCATGAGAATTTCACCTTCCATAAAAAATATATTTGTATGAGAATTCATGTCACACTCCTCCAAGTTCATTAAAAGCTTCAAAGTTGATATGTCTATTATCTAAAACAAAACTGGTAAAGAGAAATTACTGACGGCAACCCAATAAATTTTAGCACAATTACATGGTTGTATTTACTAGATACTCATATTGTTTGACTTCTACAGTACGAAGGTGTCAAGGCTTCTTTAATTTGCATTTTTAAAAAAGAAGGCAAAAAATTTGG